GTATATATATATATATATATATATATATATATATATATATAATATAGTAATTTGTCTTATGCATTTGGAGATTTTAAACATCTTTACACTGTGTTACTTTCCATTCTCACTTAAAAAAACTCTTTTAACTTAAATTTTTACTGTTTAAATAATTACACTAACAGTTGTCATATATTATTGTTATACTGCTTTAATTACTCTCTTTTTGTCCTCTTCCCGTTTTTCAGTTCGTACAAGTATAGGGTTTCTGAATCGAGTTGCTCGCGTCTCTATTTTCTCTGTTTGGCAAGGACCATTTCATTTTCATTACGGATCGCCTTTAGTCCTTACATATACAAATACGCTCTGTAGGTACAAGAAACGCAAACGGGTCCTTTGAGAGGCAAGCCTATAGACAATGGTGACTATACGAAAGAAACGTGGGAAGTCATCCTCGAAGGCTAAAGAGCCAAAATTAGAGCCCGAGCTGGCTCATCAAATTTTGATGCGGTCCATGAACGAGTCCCGTGAACGCTTGTGTGAAGAGGAGATTCAGCTCCGTCAACGTATAATCGATGAGGAGCGAAGAGTTATTGATGATGCACTTTCCCGTGAGTCAAACATCCGTACCGTAATTCTGGAAAATGAGCTAAAGGCCAAATATGAAGAACTAAGGAAAGATATGATGGATTCGATTATGAAGCGCGATTGGGATCTTCAACTCGTGCAAGGTAAACTAACAGGTATGGAGAAAGCGCAAGAATTTCTTATGAAGGAGAAGGAAACGGCTCTCCAACTTGCCAGCAAGCTTCAGGACCAACTTGATCTGGCCCAAACAATGTTTTTCGAGGAACGTGAAATGCTGAAAAGTCGCATTAATAAGCTGGAAAAGGACTGCCGGGACTCGACAAATGAGTCCATTGAATACCAAGCCCACATCAGAAAGCTTGAAGAGTCTAACCGGAATAAACAGGCGGCCTTCGATGCATCCTCAAAGGAGTTAATCGTGTCGCAAACACCCGATTCGCCCACATCCGCTTCTGCTTCCGCTTCTGGGACGGATGCCACCGGGAATAGCGATCTTGAGGAGGACGAAAACGAAGAGGACTTTTCCGAGGTGGATAAAGAAACCGCAGCGCTTGTGGAGGTACTCAGAAGAGAAGTTGAGGTTTACAAGGAGCAGATCGCCAACCTACAAAATAAACTCCATTCGAAGAATCGCGACGAAGAAAAGACGAGCTTACTCGTCGCTGTACTGAACACGCAACTGGAGTCGGTTCGTGAAGAGAATAAACACTTGCGTGAGACCGCACAAAAGCGAATGGATGATATCAAGTCGATGCAAGATTTTGTGCAAAGCGAACGTGAAAAATATTTTGCTCTCCTGGGAAAGGCTGAAAATGCGGGTTCCGAAGCGTCAGTAAAGCAAACTCAGCTGCAGCTCGAGTTAGACGTCCACAAGAAGCAGGTGATCGAGTTGACTTCTTCGCTTGAAAAAGTGACCAATGAGCGTAACGCCCTCACAAAAAAACATGAGGAATATGTTGAAAATGCGATTAATCGTGAGCGAGAAGACTTTCGGGCCAATACATCAATGAAAGCCCTAGTAGAAAAACATCAAGACGAGAAGGAGCGGTTGTTAGAGGCAAACAAAAAAGCTCAAGATGATATGTTCAACTACAAGGTCCTCACACGGGCAGAAATGGACAGTCTGAAGAGTCGATTGCATACCATGCAGGAAATTTTAGACCAAAAGGAGCAGGAGATTGTGAAAGTTACTCGAACGCTAAGTTCTGAAAATGAGCAGTTGAAAGCGGAACGCGATCAGTTGTGGGCTACATGGCAAACCAAGACTCAAAGTATGGAGGAAGAGCGGCAGAGCTTAATCAATCAGCGCGATGCGCTGGCGGAGGAACTGAAGAATCTCAGGAAGAGTTCCGCCGAAACGGAAAAGCAGCTCTATGAAAACCTTGTTATCATGACGGCTTGCCATGATTCAAAGAAAGAAGAGCTTGAGCGGGAACAGGCTCGTTCAAGAGAGAGGGATAAGGAGTACAACAACAATATTGTTTTCTTAAGGGCGGATAATGGAAATCTCAAGACCAAAATGTCCGAGATACTCGCTTCGGCAGAGCAGAGGGAGAAGGAGGATCTGGAACGTATCACTCATCTCGAGCGACAGATTGGTGAGCTCAATTCGAAAATAGCCGTGGAGTACATCCAGCGTGATGAGACGTTGGCGAAAGCGGTCCAGCGGGCGGACCTCGCCGAGCGCAACGTCCGGCGACTCCAAAATCAACTCCAAGAAGCCCACGAGAACTCCTCCAAGAAGGCGATGGAGTCGTCAGACGTCGTGAAGGCCCTCCGCGCCGACGCGCGGGAGCTCAAGAGCGAACTCGATCTCGCCAAGCGAACAATCGAGCGACTGGAGGGCGACATCGGGGATCGCGCGAACTACAAACACCTCGCCACGATGAACGAACACCTCACGGAGGAGCTCGCCGGGTATCGCGCGCAGGTGGATCGTCTGAGGGAGGAGCTCCGCATCGCGCAGGAGGATCAGCGGCAGCGCGGATCCTCGATTGAAAAGATGGTGGAGGCCGGGGAGAAGGCGCGGCGACGGGCGGAAGGGTTGGAGCGGGCGCAGGCTCTTCTTTCTCCGCTTTTGGCGGCGTTGAGGGCGAGGGTGGGGGAGAGTGCAGGGGGGATCGGGGACCTCTCGGACGGCCTCCGTGAGGCGCTCGAGCGCTACGACGCGGCGGTGGAGGAGATCGCGCGGCCGATTGATTGCCCGGCGTGTGGGCGACCTTTACCGACGTCAACGAGGACGACGACGACAACAGCAGCGGATGAGAGGGAGGGGGAGGGAGCGGACCTCCGTCGGACCCTCCCGGCGGTGCTGCAGCCCCGCCCGGCCCCTTCGCTCGCCGATGGCGCCTCCGCCATGCGGATGGAGGGGCCCTGCAAGCCAAAACAAGGCATCCCCCGGTATGGGCGTTATAAAGAGGTGGCCTTACCCCAGATCAATACATTGTAGGAGTAGTTTGGGTATTGTTTTTTATTTTCCGTTTTTGGACCCCCCGGAATGTGAACAATCGAAATTTTGCCTTATCCTGTTGGTTTCAATGTATTTTTCTTTTTGACAATTGTGCGGACCCCTACGGGGGAAGCTATACGCAATCTTAGATGTAACTTGATTTTTTTATTGGACGCTTTCCATTAGAAATTATATTGTAAATGTCAGATATACAACGATGTAAACTTTTCCCAAACGATACAAAGCTATCATTCCTGATGCATATACTTTGCATATGGTATGAACCTTGTTCTTTTTGATTAGTTCAGGTATACAAAGGTAGATGAAATTCGAAAATTGCTTCTTGTGAACGCTTGAACTAAATCAAATCCTTTCATTGGAGAACAACTTTGAATGCTCTCCACGAGAACCAATTGCCCTCATTTTATGTGCCACCCTTGGTCCTTTTAGTTATAAACATGTATTATTGTTAGTCTTTGTGGTAAGGACCCCTTTCTACTGTTTTTTCTTGTTGCTAACTTTTCTGGTTTTTAAGGAACACCCATCGTACTCTGGATTTAGAATTACCTATATATGCATAGAGACCTCATTTTGTTAGATTCTACGTGTAGTGTTATTACATTTTTTATACCTCTAGAATGCGCCCGACGTCAGGCGATTGTATCCAATACGAGGAGTGCTTCCCCGTCGGGGATTACACCGCGCGGTCGACCGACATGATTGGATGGGGGCCCCACAACGTCCTTCACGTGGCGATGCGCTGGTCGGTTAAATTTTTTGTCGGGGGGTTGTTGAGCCCTTCGAGAGAAGTAGCGTTGCAGCAGCATTCCTTAACGCATCGCTCGGACGAGGCCTCGGAGGAGGTTGTGATCGGCGCTAAGTGGGCGCTTGGGCTGCTACCTGAAGGGCGCTACCCCGCCGAGGCGAGAATAGCCGTGGCGACCAACGCCAACCTCCTCGTCTATCGCGTTGCGCGGCAGGGGAATGGCAAAACACGCGTGAGTAAAGGCCTCGGTGTTGGCCTCTGCTTCTCCACCGCCGACATCGCGAAGAAGGAGCACTCGCCAAGGATAGACGCTCACGAATCAACACGATTGGAGGAGTCATCCTGCAAGGACGGCGCCGATGTCATCTCACTATCCGAGGAAGCGCCGTTGAAGGCGCGAGGGGTGGAAGCTGATGCGCCGGCAGGGCAAGATTTGTTGTCAAGGAAAAGTGTGCAGGCGAGTTTGGCTTCTACCACGCAAGGGCTTAGTGTAAAATTAGACGAAAGCCCTGCTCAGCAGTCTGAAGATGCGCTTTCTGATGAGCATACGGATGAGGACGAGGAAAACACCAGCACCAAACGGAAGAGCAAGAAATCGAAATCTTCGCGCAAGAATGCGAAAGGTTCTACAAAAGACTCTTCCTCGATGAAGAAGAAATCCGAAGGTGGCTCGCCAACGCCCCATTCTAGAAAGCGGAAGATCAGCAGCGGGGAGTCGAAACAAGAGTTATCGTCTCATACACGGTATCAACACCCCTTGGTGGACTACTTCTGGATGCCAAAGGATGTACTACTTGTTATCACCACCGATGGTGTATATTTGGTGAATTTTTTCGAGAACTTTGATGATGAGATGATTCCTCAACTTTTGGCGCTACCAAGCCCGTTATACAATTTTCAGGAGGATATCTTGGGCACCGAGATGGCTTTCCCCAGCGCAGCTGCAATGGTGAAATGCAGCTTCGAGATGACCTCTTCGATGCGGGAGTGTCCTATTTTTTCATCCGTGAGTGATCGAGTCTTGATCGTCGCCAGCGCTTTTGTGTTGAGGATCCTTCATGTGGCAGAAGATAAGGTGCAGCTTGTGCACTATGTCGAGGTCCCATCGCTGACGGCGTTACCGTCGTGTGTGTGTGCATTTTGGAGTCCAACCAGTTCAGCCACACCGGGGGAGTATTTTCACCACCACCGCCCTAGTGTGGAGGCCTTGCAAGGGATCGGAAGGGATTCATCAGCTCAGGTGCGGATTATCATAGGGACCCCAATAGGCGTCGAATACGGTTACTTCCCGCTCAATCTAGCCGTTTTCCAATCACAAAAAGAGTGTGATCACGTTGCCGATGTGGGGGGTGCACCCTGGATGTCGCTCTCCATTGATACACCGGAGGGCTTCATCGAACACCTATTCTTACGGGCCATTTCTTTAATCTCCCTGGAGGACCTAAGGCCTTCCCTCGCGTCCTCTTCCTCGGATTCGACTGCCTCGATCGTATTCCCGCGTGGATCACCCTGGGCGATCCTCGGGCTATCCCGACAATGCCTATTGGCGATGCTTTTAGGCACCGGTGAGAATAAAATCACGATGGTGCCGCTCTTTCGCTGTGGCTCGCTCGCGGGCGCGACGGAGGCCTCCGCGGAGGCGGCGATCGCCGTGTGTGGGGTCGCGCTGCACCCCTCTCACACCCTCGCCATCCTCGCCGTGCAGATGGGGATCCCTCGCTACGACGCGGCGCAGCTTTACCCCGTCTCCGTCGACGTCCAGGGTGGCTTCCTGCGTCGTCTGCTGGAGCTGCACGACGCCCTCGCCGCGCCGTTCACGGGGGAGGGGGCGTGGAATCGATCGAATCCCGACCCCTCAGGCCTCTCGCCCAGGCCACCCAGGACGGCCTTCGCTACCGGAAACGGGGAGGGGCTGGCGGTTGTGTTGTCGAAGCAGCGCAGGGCTTTGTACTTTCTCTGGGAGAAGCTGTTTCCGCAAAGCCACGATCACCTTTCCATGCGATCCTATCGCGAGTCGTGGCGGCGGTTCTACGCGGAGTCGACGTCGGGCGCGCCCGCCTCCCTTTCGCAGCCATCCTCGGCTATTCGAAAGTTGGAGGGGGGAGGGGGTTTCCCTCTCCATCCGAGTGAAACGGTGGGAATAGTCGAGGAGGTGGTGAGGCGATGGCGTCAGCAGTACCTCCAGCTTCGAAAGCAGTACGGGGTGGAGCTCTTTCTACGCTACCTCCCGCCAACGGGCGAGGAGGAGGATCGCTACCTCGGCGACGTCGACATGAACGGCGAGCGCGCCACGTTGGGGAAGTATTGGTGGGCGATTTTACGAATCCTATGGCGGCTCCGCCCCCTGGATGCCACACCGCTCTACGAGATCATCCTCGCGAACGCGATTCGCGTGATTGGGATGCGCTTCGGCTACGGGGCGTTGCAGCTTTCCAGCGAGGAGGCGTTTTGGCAGGTGGAGACGCACCCGGGTGCTTCGGTTTCCGCGTACGAGTTGAACTGCACCGGCGCAGTTGCCTTTGCTCATTTGTATCTCCAGAAGCTGAAGGAGGGGCTGAAGAAGGAAACGACAGAGGGGGGTGCGTTTGCGCCTTGGTGCTGCTCTGCCATTTGGGCAGAATCGATTCAGTCGTTTTTGTCTAAACTTGGGATCGGCGAGGCGGATGAGGCGCTTTTCTCCCAAATGTATCCGTGTTCGGTATGTGATGCGGCTTGTGCGGCTTGTTTTTCCTGGAATTTCATGTTTGATTCGAAACATGTTGCTCATGATGGAGGGGAGACTTCTTCTCACATCCCGACAGGGGGGCCGGAAGTGCACACGAGCGTTTTTTCCCCAAGAACCTTTTCTCCGTTATCCTTGTTCTCGGAGTCGGGGGTTCTGACGAAGTGCTTTGGGTGTGGGTTCTGCGATTTTGCGGTAGGCCCTTTCTGCCGCATTTGTGGAGGACTACTCAAGTAATTACGCTGGTCCATATGGGATGGAAAAGGAAAGGAGATCATTTGTGTGCAGATCATATCAAATGTTGGTTAACGGCTACTTTTCATAGATCTAATCGCCACACTAGCTAGATATGCAGCAAGAGCTTCGTAAGCAAAGAAAAAAACCATTGGCATGATCATTATTATTGATATTGACATTTACTCATGCATTCTATCAATGTGCTGCTGATTATTTTTTTTTAAAGAACTGTACTGGTGTCTTTCTTCCAAAAGGGGTTCAATCAATTAAACATTCGTACACGATCCGATGTTTCGCGTGCTAGGGCCGCCATATACACTCGTCATGCACCAGCACGTAACCTACCTACGCCTGAAGCGACTCCCTTTTAAGCTTCACTGCTCGAGCATCACCACCACTGCCTTTTACGCGTTTTACCTTCGCGCGCGCAGTGCGTTTTCCACGGTCACCCCCAGTGGCGCCACCGCCGTGCAGCTCTGGCAGCTCGCGGAGCGGGTGGAGCTGGATGAGGATTTGAGTTCGATCCGACGCGACGTCTGCAATGATTCCCGTGGCGGGGAGTTGAGAGCCTCGCTTACTTCACCGCGGCGGATCTTGCTTGACAAACGCTCTCACCCCAGCCTCCATCTCGCCTGTTGGGCCGTGGTGGTGTACGCGTGTTGGTGGTTGGGAAAAAGCTCCGCGATGTATCGTTGGATTCGCGGGGATAGCCTCGACACCCTCGCGGGGTATATTCGCTATTTCCTCATCATCCCCGCCCCGGGGTTCGCGCGGTTGATCGCACCGAAGTTTCGCGAGCTCATGGCGCGTCTGCTTGGGATCTCCGGCATCAACAAGGATAGCGCGGTTTTTATGGAGGAGCATTTTCATCGTCTGTGTGCGGCGCTCGAGGCGCACTTTGGGCAGCACCCGGAGGGGATTTTTCTCCTCCGGACGCCCCACCCGACGTTGGCGGATGTTACGCTCGGGGCGGTGTTTTCTGGTGGGTTTCTTCGCGACGACCCCCCGGCGTCGTTCGTCGCCGAAAAGTATCCCAACCTGGCGGCGTACGTGGCGCGCGTTACGGGATGGAAAGGCGGGATTTTTGTGAATTCCCCGCCCCGCACCGGCAAGGGCGAGGGAGATAAGGAGGGGCGCCACTCCGATCCCGTTTTTTCCGCTGCCTCCTCTTCGGAGGAGGAGGACGTCTACCCGGACGAAGTTCCGGAATCTCTTAGTGCGTTTTTCGAGAACATGATTGAGGTTTTTCCGTTTTTAGTCTCCCAGTGCGCCGCGTTTAAGGCCTATATGAGCAGCGACGCGGTGCGCTCGCTGAGGCGGGAGCCGCTGGAGGAGCCATGGAAGGGCTGCCACGGTTATCTCCTTCCACAACTCACAGCGATTCGCTCATTAATGATTATCGACAGTTCGATTTTTAACGTTCACGCCCGCGCGCAGGATCTGGAGGTCGCGTTTTTGGCGGCTCGCGAGGTGTGCGATGACGCGCTTGGGCATTTCAACCGACTCGACGCCGCGGCCGCGCGGGAGGAATCAACCGAGGCGGGCGTACGTTCGATTGCGGGTGAATCATCCCCCTCCCCCTCTCCTTCACCCAACGCCATCGTTTTGGAACCCCACCCAAGCGCGCCCGAGATGGGCAACGAAACCAGCTCCGCACTTGACAAGAAAATTGAAAACGATGCGATATCTAATCCTCCCCTCCAGGAGGGTGAGGCCCCTCTAGAGAGTCTGGGCAGCGAGCGGCAGCGCTTTTTCACGGCCGCGGAGCTGAAGGATTTCGATCCCGATTCAGCGGACTTTTATCGTGTGTTTACCACGCAAGGGAAACGCAGCATGCGTAGCGTGGCGCTACGGAGGTCCCCTCGCGTGGTGGGGGATCTCGTGAAGGGCCGCGTCAACCCTGAGAGGGCTGCTGTGGCCCTTCGTTCTTCGATTGGGGATCATCTGGATTTGATTCGGTCCATGATGTCGAAGATGCAATGCCCCCAGTATACCCTCTCGACTGTTTTTCATGGGCGGCGAGTTTATGTAGCAGTAATTCCCGAACACGAGGTTGATAAGGTACGCAAACAGCGGAGTTAAAAGAAGTTTGTAGCCCCTTTTTCTCAAAGGCTGTGCAAGTTCGATTCCTTTACACAGACTTGGTTTATCTTTCATGGGTTAGTACACTTTCACGCTTGAGTACATATCCCGGTCGATCACACATCTCGTTTTCGAGAAGTGTGTCAGTAAAAGGAAATTATGGAGGGTCCAAACGAGCATAGGGATAACTTTGAGGACTTAGCACGCCCTTATTGGTAGAAATGATGGGTCCCGACAATCAAGATTTTGTAGTGGATCAAAAACCGAGATGCAGTAAGATTCCCTAAACAAACACGAGCTGAAATGAATACCACCTAAAACAAGGAGAGGGTGTTTTCTACCTCTTTTTATTGTGTGTGTGTGTGTGTCTTTGTGTGATACTTTCTATGTTAAGCATTTTTCAAAACCTCATGACACTTTATTCATATTTTAAACAAACCTGAAATTTCTGTTTTCTTCACTTGTTGGGTCAATTAGGCACCTTTTCTAATTTTCAATGAGACCTTAATGGAGAAAAAGTTGTTCTTTGTTTCTTTGTTTCTTTGTTTCTTTATTTTTTTCTTTTTAATTTCCTAGTCATAGTAGGTGAAGCCTAGCATTGAAAGTGGCTTTCATGTGAGCAGGGGTGTTTGCAATTATTAATTGTCGTGTATGGTTTCTTAGGCGAATGTTTTCTAGATCGACATTGCAATATGCGACCAGGCAGACCCTCAAATATCGTACGAAACTGCGTCATCGATTTCGCACACCGACTGTTCTTCCCATCAAGCAAACGATGAAGCAGCGGGAGGAGACAATCAAAGAGGTGATGAAACGGCGCAACATCAACCCTCGCAATCATAAGGTCTACCAATATGTCGAGCAACGTTTATACTCGCGCGGCTCTCGACTGGACCGGGAAGGGCTCAATCTTAATACAGTGTATGCGCTCCAGGGCCTGGGCGATTTGGAGCCGCTACGGGGCAGTCGAAACTTCGGATTTTCCGAGAAGGAGGCACTGAAGTATAATTCCCCATCCGAGGCCGCGAAATACGAAGCCCCCCCGATCCCGTACACCCCTCTCGCAGCACGGAAGTTGGCGGAAGGAAAGTTATGGCCGCCTGCGCCGGAGCCGACGGGGATGATCAGCTGTGAGGTGCGTTTATTGCGGGATCGATCGAACATGTCACCCTCCGCGCAGCGTTTCGCGGATAAAATCGCCTATCACCTCCGGCGCTCGATTAAAGCATGCCCCGCGCATATTGGCGAGCGTATCGACTTCTCCCAGCTGATGATTCAAGAGGTGATCGCGTCGCGGCGGTCGCGGGAGATTTACATCGTCTGGGCGACCGTCGATCCGGGGGCGCGTTTCGAGATCGAGCCTTGTTTGCATCGCCTCAATAATTGGGTGCAGCGGTTGATTCTGCAGCGGATTAAAACCCGCCCGAACATCCCCCACGTGCACTGGATCTTCGACGGCGGTCGCCTCGAACGGGAGCTTCCGCGGGATCTACGAAACGAGTTGGATAGTCTTGTCGGGGAGACCACGACCTCATTGCAAACGCGCGTGCAATATCTCAAGGAGTTGGATACCATCAACCAGCGAATGAAAGGCATCCCGTGGTTTATGCCCTACCTGTGGAATAAAGAGGCCAAGGCGGAGAAAACGCGGACGATGCGAAAGGATCTGGAGGAGTATCAAAAACGCCGCGCCGAGGCGAAGGCCGCTCAAAGCGAGCACGAAAAGGCCACCCAATCGCGCCGGAGTGTAGCCCCACAGACGGCACCACCGCCCTCGTACATTCGCTGAGGGTTGATTTTTGACTTTTTATGGGTGCTATTGTTATGAGTATGATGTGTCTTTCACTCTCACACACACAAACTTTTGGTACCGTTGCTTCTTTTTTGAGATGAAGAGAGGACGGGAATTTCATAAAACAAACAAACTACGCTTTCCGTGCTATTTTTTATCATTATGAAAGCACTGTTGAATTGCTTTGCGTAGAATTCCACTGGTTTCCTTTTAATAACGTTAAAATGATACTACGACATTTATGATTCTTACCTCTCCCTTTTTCTCCCACAAAGTGAACCAAGAACTACTGCTTTTTCAAACATTAGTGTGAATCATTTTTTTATATATTAAAAGGAATTTTAACATTGATTTATATTTTTTTCCCTCTTTCTTAAGTATTTCTGTTAATCAAACAAAAAAGTTCTTTGTCTCGTTTGAAAATAGGTTGGCGTGGGGTAGGTTTCCTAGATTATCGAATACCTCGCTCACTATACAGTTACAGCGCTTGAAATATATAAATTCAAGCACCCTACTATTATTGTCGGCATTTGTTCCATTTTATTGTTGTTGAGGCTGGTGGAGATCGATTGACTTTTAAGTGCACCACAGTAATGAGGCCGCACGATGAGAATAAGGACATGGTTCTGCTCAGGTATTATACCAAGTACTTTCCACACGTGCTGTTTGTTAGTACGGAGGAAATGGAGGCGTTTGTGAGCAGTTTAGATCCGAAAACAGTTTTAAATCAAGTGGAGGATGGCGAGGACCCACCAGAGTCAACGGATCCACGGGAACATATGTACATCCTCAAGAACCTTGTAGGGCGAAATCCGACCACCGCAGCGTTTGTGGCTGTTCGGGGGTCGAATCCGACGGAAAAAGTCGTTGTCAAGTTTGTGATGCTCAGCGACGAGAAGCAAACCTCCTACGCCCGCAGCGAGCTTCACTGCCTCGCCGCCTGTAGCCATTTTGGTATTGTCAAGCACTATGACGACTTCAAATCTGAAGATAAGGTGCTTCTCATCATGGAGTACGGCAGTGGTGGAGACCTGAACAAGCAGATTAAGCAACGACTCCGGGAGCGGCTTCCCTTCAAGGAGCATGAGGTAGGACTCCTCTTCTACCAAATCGTTCTAGCGCTCGACGAGGTTCACAGCCGACGTATGATGCACCGCGATCTTAAGAGCGCCAATATATTTCTCATGCCAACTGGAATCATCAAGCTCGGAGACTTCGGGTTTTCAAAGCAGTATAACGACTCTGTTTCACTGGATGTGGGCTCTTCCTTCTGCGGGACGCCATATTATTTGGCCCCGGAGCTGTGGGAGCGTAAACGTTACAGCAAGAAGGCGGATATGTGGTCGCTGGGAGTCATCCTGTACGAGCTTTTGACGTTGCACCGCCCGTTCAAGGGACCTTCGCAGCGCGAGATCATGCAGCAAGTGCTGTACGGCCGCTACGACCCTTTCCCTTGCCCCGTCTCCAACAGCATGAAGTCTCTGCTGGATACGTTGCTCTCGAAAAACCCGTCCGAACGCCCCACCACACAGCAGCTCCTTCAAACGGATTTTATGAAGTATGTCGCGAATCTCTTTGAGGAGATCGTTACCAACTCGGATGCTATCAAACCGTCACATAGGAAGGAAATTGTTCGGCAACTCGCCGCAAGCCGTAGCAAGATCCCGGTCCACCAGCCCGCTCGAGCTGTCGGTGGCGCTGCTGACGTCGTTCACGAGGGCTACCTGTTCAAGTACAGCTCAGATTTTAAATGGAAAAGACGATACTTTTCAATTAAAAATAATATACTGCAGATTTCTATCTCGGACAAGCCAGAGAACGACTCCGTGCCGCCGAAATCGACGGGACTAGAAGCCATCAGTGATGTTTTTCCAGTTCCGGAGGCGTACTGTCGCTCCCACCCTAATCAGCTTGTTATTTGGTTTACCAATGGTCAAAAAATTATTGCCATGGCGAGTTCACCTGAGGATCGTGATACCTGGCTCTCTAAAATTCAGTCAGCATGTGGGATGTGAGGAAATTAAAAAATCGAATCGCAGCTGACACCCTTGGAAACATAATAAAGAGAAAAAATCATTTTGTCTGAGTAGCATAAAGGATAAGGTGAATCATGCCAATTTTAATACGTCTTGGCTTCTTGTGCTTTTCTTCTTATGTGACTCCATGGTAATCCCTTAAGGGAGCCGCTTATTCAGTCTTTTTTCTACCCCTCTTGCAGAATAAATGTGATCTTATAACAAAGTAATCCTGTGTGGGGGTTGTCATATGTATGTGTGTATATATGCTCCAAGGAGAATAAAAACTTGCTTCTACACATGGTCACAAAAGTTAGTGCAAGGTAGTGTTTATCTTTTGGAAACATCTTGAATCTCTTTAAAAAGAACAAAAAGAAGAAAAAAGCAGCACTTGTTCACAAAAATAGGTAAATTAGTCAGTCATATTCCTATTACCTATTTTTTTTTATATTTTTCTTGGCTATGCAAGAATTTACTTTAATCTTATTTCACTTGTACTTATAATGTCCAGAGGATGTGGAAGAACATTGTTCGAACACTCTTTTATAAACTTTGATTCTGGCAATAGGTTGGCTTTTTTTCAATACCTGAATCTATATCGAATGTGCCAGAATCGTACACATTGCACTCGTAAGCTTGATTCAGTTTTACATACTCTTGTTCCGGGTTCTTTTTAAGAAAAAAGAGTCTTTTTTGGCATATCTCTATCCCTCCCTCTTTCTCTTCTATGATATCAATGATTATTTTATTCATTCAATGTACTAAGCTCCAATATTTTTCTCGTGTTTGTTGATCAAGTTTGTAGCCCTCTATACCTAAACATATTCATACATATATATGTTTATGTTAAAAATAAATTTATGAGGTGATATTCATTTATTGTTTACGCACAGATAGGGGGGAATTCGAGCTTTTCTTTTTGATTACTCTCACCTTTCTGTAGTTAAGAATGCAGGAAATCATTACACTATCGAAGAAAACAGAAGCAAATTCCTTTCCGCACTTAGAGAGTAGAACCAGAGATATAAAAAGTGCATATGCCGCGATACGAGGGTTGCCCTACGTCAATGAAGAGGGGATTGAAGTGGGATCTCCACTTAACGGTTCTCACTGTGGTAGCGTCGATAGGAGGCAAAGCCATTCTTCAGTTAAATGTATTATGCACTTAGCCGTGCTCGCCGCGCACCGCACCTTGCTGCGCGGAAAAAGTCGGACGACAAAGCTCAAAGTGTCTAATGACAGCTCGACTACGGTCGGCGCGGTCGCGGCGACGGACGCAAGGCGTCCGCCCCCAGGAAAAGGTTTGCGCTCCACCGAATCCTCCTCCACCTCATCGAACTTTTCGAACTTACCATCATCTCCCCGTTCAGACGGGCGGAGTTTATCTGGGCAATTTTCGATGCGTGTTTGGTTAAGGAGCCTCTCTGCAAACAAACCCGACGCGCAGCAACCGCACCCTGGGCTACTGCATCCTTTGGTCGCCCTTCAAATCCTAGGGAGCCCACAGTTCAACGACACCTTGTTGACTTCTTTTTTGGATGTTTTCGTCCTACATCAATCGTCCATTACGGGTGGGAGATCTGATGAGGGCTCTGGGGCCCCGCGCTACGGGGATCCGCTCTCAGGCGACCGGGCAAGGTCCATTTCGGAAACCTTCCCAGTGAACATCACGCACGTTGAAAGCGATGTTTTCCACGTTATAGTCGATGCATCGCACCCTTCCCCAGTTCAACACCTCCTGGATCTATGGAAAGGCAGCTGCTTTAGCGATCTCGATGGTTCTGAATTTTTCTTAACGCCGTTGATCGAGGCGGATGGGTTTGCTTCGGGCACGACGAGGCCGCCTTCGCTGCTGGACAGGTCGTCCATGCGGGCGGTGCAGCGAACGACGGAATCGGGTGATGGTGATCGGAAAGTTGCCGCGCAAGCGAACCCTCAGAAGCCATGTCTGATAAAAGGAGCAATTTTGAATAGTATGAGCAGCCCGAAAGAGCGTATGCACATCTCGCGCTGCTTATCGGTATCCTATTCACCCCCTCTACTCGACAACACAGTTACTTTTTATGGCTCTCCCGCGACGTGGTATCGGAATTTCCGTATCCAACGCGAAGCTCAGCAGACGCCGCGCAAGGAATGCGAGCCCGCCATCTCCTTTGTGATGGATTCCGATAGCCAAAGGGTGGAGTACTGGAAGAGGTACTGCACCGCAACCGCATTGTATCTTGCCATGGTGCGTGCCGGCGTATGCGAGGGCGACGGCCTGCCGTTTCTCGCGATTCAGCTGATGAGCTGGCGTGATTTACTCGCTGAATCGGAACTTCGAACTCAGCTGAAGCGACTGGAGGGAACTCAGCAGGATGCCCTCGCACATTTTATGTTAAAGCGGTGGAAGGAGTGCCCTGATGAACAGATCCTAGTAGCCATTACGCTTCCTGTTCCCCTAAAAGGAAATGTAAGGCCCCTATCCGTCGCTGTTCGCGAAGCTGGATATTTTAGCCGGGAAATAGTTCCACCTCCCCCTGTGATGACTTCACATCAGCCCTTCACGGATTCTGAGGTGTTTCAGCTTTTTTATATCCAACTGGTTTTTCGCGCATTTCTTGATATCCGCTTTCCCTCCCTGGGCGGCGGCGGTGGTGATACGACGCGCCGCGATGAGTCTGATTCATGTTCTTTCAGGCGACTTCGGCCCGATCGCGTAGGAGTTCACTACCATGCAAAGCAGGGGGTTGCATTTAAGCATCCTGAAATATCAGATTTGTGGCTCTTCTTCCCGGAGCGTTCACGGACGTTGGTGTTTTTGGATATGAAGCGAGCAGTGATCCCGCTCTACGCCACCAGTGAGGAGCTGGAGGAAACCACCCGGCTCCCCCTTTTCGGTGCCACGTCGGAGACCCTCTGCCTGACGAAGTTTGGTTACTCCATCGTCGCATGGGCAGCCACGCAAACTGTGGATTCTCCGCGAACAGCTACCGCTATTTTACATGAATTATTCAATCAGTTTAGCCCAAGATACGGATGTCATCGTGAGACCGTCTGGAGGGCACCTGTCCCTCCCCGAATTTATCGATGCTCTGCGAAGACCCTTGCGAAGATGCAGGGAGCGAACTTACACTTTGCCGATTTTTTTGTAAAGGACGAGACACGAAATGAAGCGACGCATTTAAGCTGTGATAAACCCTTTCAAGCCCCCAGCTTACAAGGGCAAACACCTAACATACAAGCAGATGACCGTGTGGATCACGATATGGCTTTCAGGGATTCAAAAGAACCTTTGCCCTCAATAGATGACAGGAACAACTTTTCACCGCTTAAGCCGGATGCGAGGCAACAAATGGAGTGGATTGGTCATGAGGACGAACAGATCAGTAAGCAGATGTTTGACCTTTCATTGAAAGGAGATGCATTCGATAGGGCTTTACTCACCCCGAGTGATCTAATTATACGTGGAAAAGATGCAGAAGCCTCAGACGGGGGTGCTTTTATTGAATCGCAGCGCTCTCCCACCGTCATGGGTGCGATAGCTGCTTCCATCCCGCAGGAGAGCGTAATTTCGCGCTGTCGGCGATATGCGCGGGAGGGGTGTGTTTCCATCTTCTATGGACCTATCACTCACATCCAGATATCCACGCAGCTTGGCAGGGGCGGAAGCAGCGTTGTGTTTCGTGGGTTTTATCACCGTCAGGATTTCCCCGTGGCGATTAAAGTATTCGTCATGCCGGACGGCGTATCCCACGAGGCGTACGTGCATGAATCGCTCACAGATGTTTTTTTTCTTGCCTTATTGAACCAGCTGGAGGATCAAAAAGTCATGAAAACGTGCAGAATGCATGACTTTGTCATCAGCGAGGTTCCACCAAAAGGGTTGGGCGTGGAAGATCTGCGCGCGATCTGCCGCGGCGGGGATTTGCGCACGACAAAGCTATGCTACCTTGTCATCGATTTAATGGACGGCACCCTCGGCCGATTTCTGAGCGAGCAGGATGACGGCTACGATCCTTTTTACGATACGCTCGAAAACAGCGCCCTGCGGGAGGCGGAGTTGTTTCAGTTTCTCTACACCCAGCTCATTATGAAGTACATCTTCGACTGGAAGGTGCTTGATGTCATGCTGAATGGGCAGCTCCGAGGGGATAATATCGGATTTCGCTACGTTTCTTCACCTAAAGGGGGGAAACCCTCAGATTCACTTCATTCTGCGTCCTATCAAGGCATCCTCGTGGCGTATCAGATGTTTCCAAACGCAGAAATTCGCTACCTGCGCTTCTCGGCAGATCTCGAGGCCAACACAACGACCATTTCGGAGCCGCTGCGCTTTATTTTGTTCTTTGACGTTGCGCAGGGCATCCAGCCAGACATCGCGAAGCTTGTGGAGGGAAATCTTATTGGGGAGAGTGTACTAAGCTCGTGTTTAGAGGATGACGGCCTTGGACGATATTGGCCTCTCGACCAGCTTTATTGCCGCAACGTAGCGGTGAGCGGAGCGTTGAGTGAGGAGGTGGTTGCTTGGGGAAGCAGGTTGCGCATCAATACGAAATCGGACGCATTTGATGCGCTCAACAAGCTTTTCGATCTTTACTATCCGAAGTACGGGATTGATGAACCGACGGAAGAGATGCGGCGCACACACGTCTTGTACGAATGGAATGCGGAGGTAATTTCCAATTTGAGCTCCTTCCACCTTTTTCTTCCGGATGATTCACGCTCTCCCCATGGCATCTGTGGTGTGGGAACGCTTTGATAGGGGTTATGATGACTAATTATAGTTTTTATAGTCCACTTTTTTTTCTCTATATCGTTATCCTCTTTTGTGCTCCTCAACGTCTGGCTCCAGATGAGGACTTTGTGTTTTATTCTTTCTCTTAACGTTTAGCATGTTTTTATGCAGTGTCCTATTTATTATGTGCATATGAGGAGCTTCTTTTTGCATGTATGTGTTCTACTCGATCTCCTAATTCTTTGATTTATGGATTAAAATTTGCCATCATTGTGTATTAGAATAGTCAGTCAAGTATGAATATGGGAGTATTGATGCAAATGAGTAAGGTCAAACAACGCGAACGGTTCTTGAGGTAGACAACGCTTTCTCCATCTTTGTTACGATTCTTAACCTTTTGAGTGTTGGTTTGCGTTTCCCCTATGACCATATGCATATTAAGATTTTTGTCTGATGTATTTCTCTTAAGAGGAAGTGATATTTTTTTGCCGAACAAAGAAAAGGAATACCATCAAGATCAAAAAATGGTCGATGAAGATGCACCACCCACGAAGAAGCTCACCCAAGAGGAGCTCCAGAAGAGTGTAGACCGCCTCACACGTCCTCACCGCCGCGAATGGGAACTGAAACCAGTTATTGAGAAACGTACCATCACGCAGGAGCAGCTTGAAAAGCATATTAAACACTTATACGACGACTCCCTCGCGCGCCGCCAGATGGAGCGTGAGGAGGTGGCGCGGCAGATGCAGGCTGATATTCAAAAAAATTCGATCTTGACCACCACCCAGATTGATGCGGATGAGGAGGAAAAGATGGTGAACCGCCTCTACGAGCAGTCCACCGCGCGGAAGGAGCGAAATTTTATGGAGCTATACGCCCGAACAACAACGCTTCACAAAGAAGGTGAGCGAAAGCTAGCGCCGGCAGAGCAAGAGAAGTTGGTACAGCACCTCTACAAGGAGGGCATGCAACGGGAGCGGGATAAACATATCGCGCTGTATGAAAAGTTCGTTTTAAACCGTAGAGCTCAAGCAGTACGGACGCAAGCTTATGAGTCGGAAATCTAGAGAACGGTGCCACTTCGCGGGATTCGATGGAAAACTGATTGAAAGAGAAAGGAAAAAAGGGATGGAGTGGAGCGGCTACTCCTCCTCCGAAAGACGCAGAAAGAAAAAGGGAATGTTAAGAGCGAGCCTCGATCAGTGTGAAGCTGAAATGTATATTATATGTTGGCTGAGGGCCTCAGGAAAAGGCCGCTGCTTATGGCCTTTTTATTATTATTACCAGAAAACTACTCTTTAGAATAAAACAAGAGGGCAACTATTATGATTCAAACCCTCTATCTTTACCATGCGTTAATTATGATCATGGGGAAATAATGGTGCTTTCGATTTGTTTTTCATACCTCGACAGGGTGGAAACGTTCGTTGCATTCTGCTTTTGCTTTTCATTCTATTCCAGTCAAAAAAATTGTGGAAAGATGGATACCGATAATAAAGAATTTAGCCTTTGTTAGATTCTGTTGTCATTTGAAATTTTTCCGCCACGCAGAAAACATTTTGATCGCAGTATGCGTCATAGTGGATAGGGCACTAGGCCAATGAAGATACTCTACAGGATGATTGCGGTTAGATTCACGGGATAGACGTCGGATCTCGATGATACGGCGTGGTGGATTAAAAAGGAGTTTTCCCTCGAAAGTTAGTGAAATCTTTACCAGAAAAAAATGTCAGCTCCTGTGCACTCTGAGAGAGGAGGAGGGAGATAAATGATTTTTGGATTTGGTGGCAGTTCCACCGTTATTATCGTTACTACCGAACCCAATAAGGGAGTTCAACAAAGTGCGAACTCCCTATGAGAGTGTAGCGGGTCATTCATTGCAGCTGAGCAAGATTTTGAGTCTTCAGGCTTCCATTACATTCGTGCAAAGAGAGTCTTTATTTCCGAAACCTTAATTTCGAAGGCTTACTTTAAGAGGTGCCTAATGATCAGCTTTGACATTTGGGTAATGATGTTGTCTGTGAGAGAAGAGCAGCTCACGTACACGCTTTGCAAGATCTGGTGTCGCTCGCAAAATAGCAACAAACGCTATCGCAAAAAAAAAAGAACAATAACTCTTATTTCATTGCATCAAGCCTTCAGTTAGACGTGAAAGATCTGCAAAGGGATCTTTTATCTCGCCGATATATCCATGTGTTTTTAATTGCTCTCTCTCCTTCACACATCCACACATCTTCGCATAGGGTGGAGTTTGCAACCACAGGAAGTAAATGAACGTGGCGCACGTATTGATTGATCTAGCTTTGTTAGGATACTGAATCTGGTTTCGAGTCTCCCCCTTTTTTTTAGCGTGTATTGAATTTTTGATCGCCCTCACACGAATCTCATGCTCTTGATTACCTGGAACACGGCGGGCTGGTCGTCCACTGTGCGAGCTATTCGTGAAAGCTACGGAAGTGTTGCGCGTTTCCTTCACTTGACTGGGGCTGACATCATCTGCTTGCAGGAATGCAAAGGTTCATGGGAGAAACTACAGTCGAAGCCGATTGAAATGGGTGCGGATGATCCACCCGTTTCGAAACGAACCCTTCCCAAAAGTGCCCCTTCTCCCCTCCAAGGTACTTCCAACCTGCCTGGTGAGGGAAAGAGCCGGGATGATGGGCTGATGGGGGAGAATATGCAGGATTGGGAGTCTTTTTGGTCTTTTAGCGAAAAGGCTCACAAGGGGTTCAATGGGGTGGTGACGTTTGTGCGGAAGGGCCTCACGCTCGCCTGTGACGCGCGGCCGTTCGACAAGGATGACTTGAACGATGAGGGCCGCGTGGTGGTAACGCACCACAGCGCCTTTGTGCTCTTCAACGTGTACGTCCCGAATGCCCGGGGAAGCGCACGAAGTGAGTACAAAAAGTACTTTCTTCATTCGCTTGTCGCGGTCATGGATCGGGTACGACAGACGTCAAAGAAGCCTTTGATTTTCGTAGGGGATTTAAACATGACCTACCGCGCCGAGGACGCCGCCTGGACGCTGCGTCGTCTGGATATTGGCAGGATGGTGGAATTAAATCGACAATCCAAGGTCCTCCCGGACGACGCATGGGAAAGCACCTACCCGTATCTTTCGAAGCCAGCGCTAGGACGTCTGATGCAGGGGATAACCCAACTGCTCTGGCGCCGTGCTCTAGAAATCGTGCGCACGGCGAACTCCTCCTCATCCTCCTCCTCCTCTTCTTCGAAGAAAGTTGACGACAGAAGTTCATTGGCTACGGTAAAACTGGACGGAGAACCCAGGCGAGATTCTTCCCGCAGCACTGCGCATACTGGCGTCGTTTCGGTGGATTCTCGCATCCGCGACGAGTCCGGCAAGGGGGCATCGGAGCTCCAGAAGGAGCTTCAGATCGAACAACTACGGAGACTTTGCCTGGCGTCGACAGAGTCGAATTCCGCGAAAAAAGAGTTCCCATGCACCCCCCCTTCATCGCAGTCGAACGCAGGGGGATCTCCCTCTCCCACAAATCCATCCATCACCCTCGAGGAGCTCTATGAGGCGGGCTTCTCCAGCGTGTTCATTGATGAAATCTCGACCAACCCTCACGCCAATAGCTTGCCAAACCGGGAGCTCTACGCCCTCACACGGTATTGCGGGCTTCCCCCTCACGACGACGAATCCATCGCGTTTATGGACGGACTTTTGAATCCCCACCACGCACTTGATTCCACCCCGGGGATGCGGGATACCTTCGCGATGGCGGGGGAGGGGGATTTTTCCTCACTCGTGTACTGCCCCTGCCCTTTTACCTGCTGGGATCAGTCGCGGAATCGGCGGCAAATGAATGAGGGAACGCGGCTGGATTACGTCCTCGTCGACGCGGAGCTCGCGCCGCACGTGGTGCTACCTACGCGAACTGAAAACAACCATCCAAGCAGCTCTCCTAGTTTTATCAACCATGATGTGGATCCTCCTCGCCCTCTCGATGAGGCGACGTTTTTTACGGAGTTTTGTGGGAGCGCCCGCGCGGAGGGGGTTCGTCGCGCGATGGCTGGTGGGTTATACCCACCAGCCGCCTTCGATCGCTCCGGAATTCCGCCACTCAGCCGGAATGCCCTTGATATTCCCTTCCGTGGGCTCCCTTCCACGGGGTTGTTTATCACGCCTCCCCAATTCAGCGATCATATCGGGATGTGCGTGCTCTTTCGACCGTCAATCCGATTAGAACCACGCGCCGATAAGATTTTGGGAGCTTCCAAATGCCTGTATCGTCCACCTGTTGGTCTGCGTGCGTTTATGATGAAGCCGCTGGCCTCGGGGTCGGCTTCAGCTACGAACGTCGAGAAAAAGGCAACCAACTCTGCAGAGGGGAAACTGAATTTTAAATTGACTAATGGAGAAGAAGTAAGCGATTTCCAAAAGGAGAAAAAGGTGAAGGTTGAAGTATGCCATGAACAAAATGAGGTTATCGACCTGGACGGTGTATAAAGGACGTCATAATCTTCCAGGAAGGACACCAAAATGGAATATT